AAAAAAAAAAAAAAAAAAAAAAAAAAAAAAAAAAAAAAAAAAAAAAAAAAAAAAAAAAAAAAAAAAAAAAAAAAAAACTCACCCATACACGTGAGGCAGTAAGTACGAATAGGGTGGTCCCATCCTATCTTATTTAATTCCGAAATTCTCCTACTAAATTATCCTCCCTCCATCGCACACAATTTCTAAAAAGTACCATTTAATTTGTTAATTTACTAATAATTTACAAAAATTATTTCCCATTATTCAATAATTTATTCAACCTTAAGATATTAATCACTAATAATTAAACTATTATCATATCCCATACCACTTAAATAATGGAAATGATGAGCGACTTTAGAATAAGAATTAATTTGATATTTTATTATAAGATTGAATTAATATTAATGAAAGGTAGATGGAACAAGGAGAAGGGTAGTTTGGGAAATGAGATTTTATGAACCGTTTGCAAATCGGTGTTAGGCTGGAAGTTCATGGGATGGAGGGAGTGGCAATCATTAAAAAAAAGTGTTTAAGAGATATTTAATATTTAATTAATCCCAGAAAAATAAAGAAAAAGGAAAATGAATAAATCTGTAGAAGCTTCCAGAGTACCTTTTCATTTTTAGAGGTACAAATGTTTTCTTATTTAATATTGTAAGTAAAATATAATGAAATATTTGATTGTCTTTTTAATTATATGCGAAATAAGTTAATGAATGTTAAAAGTATTAATAATTTATTATAATTAATGTAAATAAAGAAATAGTGGAAATTGAGAGAATCTCCAAAGAAGGGCGGCAACGTCAACGTGTATGAGAGGGAAAAGATAGGGTGAGGGAGACGGATTTGACAAAACGTGGAGCAGAGTATGGGATGGGATTGGCCCAATGGGCCCACACCTCACCTGCCGTCTTTTATGGGCCCACACCTCACCTGCCGTCTTTTATCTCTCCTGTACCATTTTTGTTGTCGGTGTCCCTTATTTATCGTTACAGCATTTGTTTGGGCCTAACCTTTTTGGGCCTAACCTTTTTCATTCAAATGGGCCTCGGCCCATGTTCTAACCCAAAAAGGCTGATTAATAAAAAACACGTGACAGTCGTAGGATTTGAACCTTCGGACTAGAGCCTAAGTCTAGCGCCTTAGACCACTCGGCCAAACTGTCTTGATTACTAATAATTAATTTTATAGTTCAACACGAAGGATGATTTTCAAATAAACTGAATCCAGGTAAATTTAAAAATTAAACGTTAGTCATAATTTTGTAAAAAAGATGAAAAATAAGTTCCATTCAAAGTAGATTTGAATTCAATTGACCAAATGAAATAAAAATAGATATAAAACAAACATAAGAAGACACTAAAATCTGGTGAATGATTTAACGTCATCAATGAATTATGTTTTCTTATTCGAATTATTGGACTTTGCTTTATTAAATTAATATCATATGGTACACTAAGAGAGAGAACAAAAAACAACATAATTTTCTTCAACATTAAGTTTCCCTTCCCACTATTTTAGATGAAGGAGGGGCTAAGCTACCAACATTTGATGGTCTACAAGGGAAGACTAAATTTCATCGGAGTTGGATGAAAGTCTCACGTCGGCTCGGCTAATTTAGGAAATGATCATGGGTTTATAATCAAGGAATACTATCTCCATTGGCATGAGGCCATTTGGGAAGCTCAAAGCAAAGTCATGAGAGCTTATGCTCAAAGTGGACAATATCATACCATCGTAGAGACAGTGTATCTCTAATCAATTTTTTTTTTTTTTTTTTCCTAATGATTGGTTTCATTGCAAAAATCCTCAATATCAGACAGAGAGGGCTCAAGACAATCTAACAATTTGCTGCTACAACAATAGAAGCTTCATTTATATATATATATATATATATATGAAATATGCAATAAAAACAATCCAACAATTATACAATTTGGTATCCTCTTTATTGTAAGGTCAAAGCTAGCTATGATATCTCTGTACAACATCAAGAGAAAAAAAATGGGTTGACAATCAATGTAAAAATTGTTCTCTTTTCAAGGAAAAACGAAGAGGCCTCAGATTTTGATATCAAGCATGATCACGGGTACAAAGGTTGTAACCAGAGATAAGCGAACTAATAGCAAAAGCAACGAAGGCAAGGAAAGACATGCTGACCGATGCACTGGCCATCTGCGTGAATTCATCTTTTCCCCAATTTGATTGCCAGTCATCAACACGTGTTGCGGCCGAGGAAGACGACGATATCAGAAGATATGCCAATGCCTGCCAATATAATCCAGGATTACATCATTAGTTGATGAAGAAACGAAGCAGGCAAAGTAGCTAACAATCTTGGGTTATCAAGAAAGTTCTCGCTGAGACTCGAGAGCCAGAAGACTTGATGTTTCACTTTCTAGGTGTAAAAACCCAAACCCACCGCTAGCAGATATTGTCTTCTTTGGACTTTCCCTTCCGGGCTTCCCCTCAAGGTTTTAAAACGCATCTACTAGATAAAGATTTCTGCACTCTTATAAGGAATGCTTTGTTTCTTCTCACACCGATATGAGATTTTACAGCTTAAAACCACTATTCTTTCACTTACAAAGTCAACCCAAACCAAACAAGCCCTTGCATATTTGAGCAAATCAGAAGCCTGAACAATCTACACTCACACAATGACACAATCAATCATTACAAGAGACAAAGTGATCAGCAGATCAACTATCAAGTTCATCCCCACTTGAATGATCGTCTCAAATTGAGTAAACCGGATTCAAGTGGTGAAGCAGAAAAAGGATTCTCCATGCAATTCAGCGAATTTCTTCTAGCCTAAGTATACTAAACAAACCTTTGACCATAGAGACACGTTCATTGTAGCAGACTAACAGTGAAAGCATGCCTATAGATATTAAACAATATTCACTCAGACCCGCTTACTTGCACAACTAACCTGATCCATGAAGAAGTCAAAATGATAACGAAAGTGATGGCGTATCATATGGTTCTTCTTGAATAGAGTATAGACAAGATCAAATGCTTGAAACACTGCATACACGAACGCAATTATATTCACGGTGAGGCAGTACCTGTTGATAAATCAACTTGATGAGATAATATAAGACGGGAACAAACATACAGACTTCTACAATAATTTGAACAGAATGAATATGAGATACATCCTTTAAGTACGGTTTTCACGTTATAGTATGAAGTATTAATGTATTCTTGCAATACAAGGGAAGCTAAGAATAATGGCACATGATTGATCACAAAAAGGCATGGAAATTAAGAGACAGCTCTGATAGTGAGATTGCTTCCACCGCAATCCTTCACTCACAGTACAAACACTTGAAATTATACCAAAAGCCAATATGAGAACTAAAAACTTTAACTCAAAGCAGCAAAAAACTCGGCGAAGGACATAAAAGTTGTAATACAAAGTTGTGGGTCAGACTGGATTAAATAGTGTAGCGAAAGAAATCATTTGGATTGTGTATATCATTGAGAACTTGACAATCAATAGGTTGGAAGAAGGCGACAGCTCCATTTTAACATGGCATTAAAGATTGAGATTGAAGACTGTAACTAAGACACCAACTCATTTGAGGACAATATGGTGTACAACCAACAGAAAAATCGCAAAACCATTAATCACAATAATTGTTTCAAGTTTTGATTCTGGTTGGAAGGAAATTTATAGTATCCGAAGAATGGAAAGCTAATTGGTATGGTATTAATCTTGAGGTCCCACAGATCATACTACTAGTTAAAGATTAAAATACTCATGTTTGCAAAGATTAAACCTAAGGAATTGAACAACAATTCGGAAAGAAAATAACAAAACATCGAAAAGCAAATCTAATTTACTTCATTCTGAAGTTGAATAGCACTCAGATAGTAAAGAGGAGTCAAGAATCGTAAGAAGAAAACCTGTATTCCTTGTAACGATCAAAGGAGTCGCCACTCCAACCCTGAGTCTTATCAGACGCCATAACCGAAAACGAAATCAAGCAAACCGCCACTTCACACACTCTAAAACCTAAAGCCGCCTTCGTCAACGCATCGTCCTTCGACCTCCTCGACATCGGCGGCATTTGCTTCGGCGATCTCCCACCTCCACCACCGCGCTCCTCGACTCCACCTGCAGCCGGCCCTACTTTGGTCACCGACTGCGGCACATCCTCCTTCATTGCCCGATTAAACATAACCTTAGACGAAGTCGACCTATCTCCGGGAAAGCTCACGTTCTCCGGCGTCTTCCGGGAGCTGGCGTAGGGAGATGGAAGCGGCGAGAACTGAGTACTCTTATCGACAACATCAACGAGGACAATCGCCTTGGAGTTATCTGGCTGCTTCTCAGGCGAGGTATCGGGAGAGGCATAAGGAGGGGTCTCCGGAAGGTCGCCGACGTCGGATCGGAGCGGCGAGTGAAAGCGCAGCGGTGAGTGAGGAGATTCCATCTGACTGTGAACCGATAACTCGGAATTTCTCGACGACGACTTCCTCATGGATGACGAGTCGATCGATTTCAATTTAGCCTCAATCATTTTTCTTCCAACCTTGACGGATTTTATCGAAAGATTTGCGGGAAAAATTTGTTCACAAAGTACGAAAAGAAATAAAAAAAAATAAAAAGGAAAAGGCTGTTTGGGAAGTCGGGAAAAAAAGAAAGCAGAGGACTTTAGTGGGACTCGTCTCTAAGTTCGCGTTCGTAATTTGGAAGCCACGTGGCATCATTTTATTTGTAGGTTTAAAGTAACGGCGAGAATATATTCCAGTGCGGTACAGTGTACATAAGTTCTGAAGATAGGCGAATTAATCTTACGTTCAGAATAGGAATAATAAAAAAGACTCTGATTACACGTAAGGTTTTGTGTGACGTGGAAGAATTTGATTCGTTGATAGCGTGGATTCTACCGTATTTTAGAGCCTCTCCGACAAAGTAAAGTGAGCTGCGAAGCCTACGATTCCTTTTTTTATTTAAATATAAGAATTATCATTTAAAACCTTTCGTCAAATTGAGCTATGTTTACTCCCACTCTTTACGACGTCGTTTTTGCCACGTAATTGTTCTTTCACTTACGAAGGAAATAGCATATTCCCTTCATTATTCTAAATAATCTCTCAATTAAAGGAAAATTATTAAATAGTTCTCTAAATCAATTAGTTTTAATTATTTTAATGTCGGGCTCCACCTGACAAGTTTAACCTAGAAGATGAATTTCTCGACTAATCTTATTAACATAATTTCAATATCTTAAGGAAGTAGTTGAAGGTCATTTATTATTTTTTTTAAAGAGCAAAAGGAATTTGATTATTATAAGCCGCAATAACAAAAATGGATTACTCCACCAACCAAGTTTACGAGAAATTGTTCATCGTTCAATAAAGCCATCACAACATGGCTCACAGTTCTTCACCACAAGATATATGAAACATCGAATAATTATTATGAGACAATCACATCAAATAATTTATCCAAGTTGACCCGACTCCATTCGTTCACACCTCCAACAAGAAAAGCAAAGCAAAGAAAGATGCGAATTTGAAACACCAACTTTAATATCCTTTTCATATGCATCTTTTCTCCATGGCATCAAAATATGAACACACGAACTCACTCTCCCTCTCGCAGCCATAATATATTCATAAAGGCATGATTTTTGTAATGTCATGTAGTGGACCTTCCTTACTTACCCACTTCCTTTACACTCATCAACACACCCAACAAAAGCATCCCCTCCCTCTTCTTGACAGGACACCAACCCTTCCTTTCTGATCATCAAAAGAGGAAGCACTACCAATGCCTTTTCTGCTTTTAAGCCCCTACTCTCTTTACTTTTCATTCCCAATTCCCAATCAACCTTGTAACCTTTCCTGCATATTCAGCAGCCCCCCCTCCCCCCCTTGTCCTTTACCAATGCTTTCAAAAGCTTCCCATAACAAAAGTTGGATGAAGAAGCAACACCTATACTTTCTATGCTTCATTCAATACATATTTCACCTATTATTGTTCACTTCATCTCAGTCAAATACGTTCTCAGGGAAACAAGCGTTCTATGCTAACTCATCAAAATTTGATATCAAAGAAGCGCGGGGAAATACGTATCTGGGAGGAAAGACTCTTCTTTGCTCGAACCTTTCGTTACAGAGATGTTCGTCCGGTTGGGAACGGAAGTTGGGCATTGCCATTCGTCTGATTCGGAAAGGAAACTGAACCTAGGCATGAGGCAAGAATCAAACATGTATCACTCTGGTAACGTCAAGCGGTTGAAGAGTACAAGGAAACTTTGTTCAGGAACGACGTAGAGAAACCCGAGATCTGCACCTTTGACGTATGGGCCGATACCCTGCAGAATTGGAGAGGAAATCAAATGTACTGATACAAGTGATATGGTTCGTATCAGTTGACTTACCCTGCCGTTTAGTTGGAAAAGTTCTCCGTCGACCCATTGTGGATTTCGGAACCCAAATTCGGCGATTCTTCCTTGACCTTTATAACTAGCAACCTGGAAACACAAGATCTTTGAATTAGTCTCAGTCTACAAGACTGGATGACAATGTTATGTCAAGGACATATGGTAAATACCACTCCCAGTTCATCTGGATACATTCCACGGTTCGCGGTGCGGGTTCCTCTCCCAATTCTAGCCCGAAAAGTGACCTAGATTTATAAAAACATCATGTCCAAAACACCATGACTTATGAACTCAAGACATGGAAACAAAAAGCTTGTCATTGTTCTTAACCAGTAAAATCCTAACAATATTAGAATTCAAACCTGGCCAGCAGGAACATTAAGATCACCAGTCAACTTTACTGCTTCTACATACTCAAAGAACTCCATATCTGAAGTCTTGTCCTTGTTATCCAAATCATTCCAATGTCCAAATTTTCGCCTCAACTGCACCACCTCAGTGCCATAAGGGCCGAATGCACCAACATAGAGACCTGTTCCACGACAAGTCTTATAACCATTTACACGTGGTGTAGCTAACGTCAAAACAAGAACAAACGACTCACCATCAAATGGATCTAGGTCTCCCTTCGATGTCGTAATCCGACTGAAAGTAGTATATTCAGATAGTTTACTCCGCTTCTGTGCTTGACTGACAGCCAGTTTGACTATCTCACGAACATTCCTCGAAATCTAGAATAAAGTGATTCAGTAATTTTACAATAAAACAAGAACTTATAAAAGGATGAAAAAACAATTTCTGAACCCACAGCATTGGATATCAACCTCACCTTTGGAGAAACCTTATCAACACCCCAAAATGCCTTGGCGACATCGGCTGGCATAAGCTCGGAAACACCTTGGACAGTTAAAGCTGCCACTTTGACCTTTGAGACTTTCTTGTCCGTAGCATCAAGATCTAAGCCTCGACCAGGAATATGCAGCACAAAAGAATCTCTGTCCATATCCTTAATATAAGCAGGATGGCGTACAAACTCATCCTTGGTAGGAGTCTCTTCACTGTTATGTACAACCCCACCAATATAAAGCTTCATATCTAATTCCTTTTCGTCGTCACTGGCATCGCTATTCTCACCTAACGAAATTGTCTCGGACTTAATCTCATCTAACTTACCCATTGCATCATCAGAGTTCCCACTAGTCCCCGTCTTCTCATTGTCTTCTTGCATCAATTGCTTTACAGAGTTGGCGTCTTCAATGACTTCCTCGGGAACATTGATATTCATTACTTTAACTTTTAATCCCGGAATTTTCTCTTTCAAAAAATTTATCACCCCCTTTATTCCCTCCTCAGTAGCTTCTTCCATAGTAATGCCCTTCTCCTCACCTTTCTCCTTCGTGGCTTCATTCTCTGGAACGTCTACAGTAGCTTGATTCTTGATTCCAGATGTGGAAGGACTATTTGAAGGCTCTGATGGTTGACTTGTTGAGATTGACGATTTTCCTTTGTATCGTTGTAAGTACACTACCTGCAACATATACAAATCGAAATAATCTCTCATTTAACTTTTAATGTCAGATACATGGTTACAGACAATAGCAATGTATTCTTTTGTTAACCCACGTACTAAATAAAAGAAAATGGGCTTCTCATGATGTAATAAAGTCAAAGACATTGGATTAGAGATAGAGATAGGCTCATAAGACAGACATAAAATCAATATTTTCACAGAAAAATGGGTAAAACAATGTTTCACGTGAGGATTCTGTAACCTGCATGACATATCTCTCTTCATCTTTGACAACAAAAATCTCAAACAATGGAGTTCCTGGCGATGCAGTCACCAACTGTCTGTGACAGACAAGAATTATGCGTGAGTGTTCCCCAAATAATAACGGTGTCTGTGTCCACAAACGAGACAACGATCTTACCTCGGACTGTAACCCCTCCCAACAAATCTGCCAACGCCAGGAGTTACACGTATTAATCGGCCAAAGGGATCATCTGAATCCTGAGAGTACCCCACCCACCAGCCCACCTGCTCAAACAATGGTTCAGAAAACATCAATTTTCATTGCCATATATTTCAACTCGATTTCAGCAAATAAAAATAACAGTGATGAGCTTAAGAACATGCTTGGAATAGCTTTCCAGGTGCTTCAAAAAGGGGTTTTGGAAAGTCATTCCAAACAAGCCCTCAAATGTTTTGGGGTAGAATCCTGCAAGATTACCAGTCCACTTCCTGTGCATTTACACAACATCGACGCATCCTGGTACCGCTCCTCCTCTATTGCACTCTGCAAATCTTTATAAAAATTACATTAGGAGGTGACCATAAAATTGACAATCTTGGTAAGTAATATAAATCTAGGTTTGACCTTCAACTGGTACATGATTTCAGCAACACTGTCCTTTTGTGTAGTTTCGGTAATAGCCAGTTTCAATTTTGCAGCTTCTTCAAAGTCTTCTTTCTCAACAGCCTCTTCAAGTTGAAACTGTAACACACCGACTAGAACTCATGAGCCAATAACAAGTAGAAAAGCAGCTAAATTAATAGACAACACACATACAAAAGAAATGCAGTGAAAAGTAAGGAAACACAAATGCTACTGCTCACAAACATGTTTTTTCAAACTATTGCATTAGAGGATGAACACAAAATTGCATGACCCTAATTTTTCATGATGAAGCACTAAAACTCAAATCTAATCATCACCCAAACAACGAACCAAAACCCACTTGATGAAATCCACAATCATCCCAGTTTCTTGTGTACACAAATAATGATAGAAAGAACTGCACCTTAAGAACAGAGGCAAAGCTTTCTGCCTGTTCCATTTCAGAGAAATAACGACTCCACCTACTCCAATCCCATTCCAAGGAAGAAGAAGAAGATGATGATGACGACGACGATGAGTTGCTATCACTGCCGGCGCTAGTATTGCCATTTCCTCTGCAACGACAAAACAAGGTAGAATCCCTGGGATTCCTAGATGAAGTAAGTGAAAGCTTGCCCTGATTCTGAACAGTACAACCCCAACTCAAAATCAGCTTCGAATCATTAGATTTCTTGGTGGATAAATCGAAGCAACAAAAGGGACTGAATTGGAGCATGGTTATTGCTTGTCCAGCAACCCACGAGGTGTTGGCGATCCCCATCTCACAGCTTTCACCGTCTCGGCTCTCCTGACCGCGCCTTCCTCTTCAACAACTTGTTTTTTCTTCTTCTGGTTGGCGCTAGATTTTTGGTTCTGTAGGGGTGAGAGGGAAAGAAGAGAAAGAAAGGGGTGAGTGAAGAAAGGATAGAATCCTTCCTCCCTCGGATAACTTTTTAGCCTATTAAAATAAAAAGGCCCATCAGATTTGTAGGTACCCTACATTGTTGCTCCAAATGAACAGAAACACCCCTTCTGCTACTATCGAACCCAAAATGAAAGAAACTATATATATAATATTAAAAAAAAATCATTTTGGGATTTCAACTTTTTAATTTTATTCGACCAATTGAGGATGTTTGCTGAATTCACACCCTTAAATGGGTAAAAATTATCTTATTTATAATCAAATAAATTATAAGAATATTAAGAGATAATAAAAGGAAATAACAATAAATGAAAAGATACCGTAATAAGACAAATATAGATATTTGTCTTATAATAAAATATCAAATATATATATATATAATAAACTATAATTTAGATAAACAATAATTTATTATTAAATATCCTTAATACTAGAATAGAAGCTTATTGATCTCATGTACCAAATCACTTTGCTAATTGTAGCTTGTCTTTTATTCTATCACCCGGACTCTTGTTTTGAACCATGTAGATTTGAGAATATTTAACGCGTAGATTTTACAGCAAAAAAAGAAAAAAACTTCTTGGATGACTTACGATGGACTAATTTCTCCAGTTAGTTTTAAATGGCTAAACTAAAGAAAGGAAAAAATATATATATCAATTCAACGACATTAATGAAACTTAAACGAAGCACTTTTACAGAATTCCAGATACTTGATGAGTTGAAAATGTAGGATGATACCCAAAACATCCTTTTAAGTGGCAAACTGATTGGTTTAAGTAGAATCAATTTGTTTATTGGCTTCTTTCATAATTAGGACAATGGATGGTGTTCTTCCATGATCTTTAGTTGAGTCAATTGTCTTGACGTGTTCAATTATTTGGACAAATGTTGTCTAATCATCTTAAGATTGTCAACAATATTCTAATGGTCATGCAGTGATAATTGACATTTAATACTGATGTTTTTTAAAAGAATATTCAAAGTGTTAAATAATCCAAACAAATAAATAGATAAATCGCAATTGAATTTATCGGATTTAAGTCTTCACTTCAGTCAATTTGATCACTATTTTAAATTTATATGATGTAACTATGAAGGTAACATCATTTTACCTTATTTTATAAATATAAGGTTTGATAGAATAAAATACGAAGAACGAATTTATAATTAAAATAAGTATTTTTGGCATAAAAAGTCAAACCAACGAACAACTTCACAGGAAAGCATTGAAGTATAACAGCATAAATGTAATCAAATTAAAGATGGGCGTCCTATATTTTTATGTATTAATTTAAGAAATATTTTAACATGTTAAAAACTTATAATTTATTCGTATGATTTTTTGAATAAATTATGTGAATAATTGCTTAAAGAAAACGTGGGAGCCGTGGTGGCCATATTTTTGGCACTACCTGATTGGTTCTTTAGTCGTAAAAGGGATTCGGAAAAAATATGCTAATTTCTTTTATCTTCCCAATGCAGAGGTCCAATGTCATGCACAAGCAGCCCGCACAGCCTCGACACTTATCATTCATGAAATTTGTGGAATATTTATCTTTTTTTTTTTTAAAAAAAAAAAAGAAATAACAAAGTTTATTATCCCATATTTAAAAAGTATAATAAATTGTTTTCAGAATTTTCAATTTTCAATTTTAAAATTTTAAAATGTTGTTTTAGAATTTAAAAAAAAAAAAAAAAAAAAAAAAAAAAAAAAATTCTAAGAACAACAATAAGGAAATAACGACCAAACCTGGAATTGGATAGACATTCCCCGTGGGTCTCCTTGTAGGTGTTGTGGCCAAAATTGGAAGCCATTCAAACCAGACCAATCACTTTCTCCGATTAACCTAAATCCTGGACAACAGGACACAAGTTTGAATCTCTCTAAAATTTTGCATCCCTACTTTATTTAGTCTTCGCCTAAATTTAGTATTAAAAGTGGTTGAGTGCATATCATAGTTTTTGTTACTTATTTAACTATCAAACTTGGTGCTTCAACGATTTCTGCATTCTCAACAATATTCAAATATTCAAATGTTGCTGGCTGATATTTTCTTCTTTAGAGGTTCCCCTCAAGGCTTTTAAAACGATCGGCTAGTGAGAGGTTTCTTCAACCAATGTGCTATCTTACAATCCACTCCCTTTAAAGTCCAGCGGCCTTCTCTCCAATCAATGTGAGATCTCACAATCCACCCCTTTGGAGCCCTGACAATTCCTCTCTCCAATCGATGTGCGATCTCACAATTCACCACCTCCTTGGAGCCCAACATTCTCGTTGGTACTCATTCCTCTCTCCAATCGATGTGGGATCTCACAATTCACCTCCTTTGAAAGCCCAAGGTCCAATGTCCTTGTTGGCACACCTCCCTCTATTTTTGCTCTAATACTATTTGTAAAAAAAAAAAATAATAATAATAATATCTATTAACTCATTTTTCTAAAAATTTAAAATATATTCACGTAAGAAGATATTATTATTTAATTTTTAATAAAAAGGCTAAATGGAATGAAATCTAAAGTTGAGACGGGAAAGATTCAATTCAAATAGTAGAATGAAAAAAATAAAAATGGAAGGATGTCAGTCACCTCGTTGAGGCTGCTCTACTTGGTCACTGCTACACTGCTAGTGGGGAATGGAGTGCGGACATTTTCCGATAAAACATGACCTGACCTGAAGAAACAAGCAAGCAAAGACAAATTAACACTAAACTATGTAAACTATCAACTCATTTTTTAATACTACCGCCCGATTTGCTCTCTTCAAGTTAGTGGAAAAACGTCCGTCAACCAGAGAATTGAATTGAGAAACAACCATCAACAATTGGAACAGTTAAAACATACCTGTAAACCTAGAAGATTCTCCAGTGGAATTGCAAGATCTGCTTTGAAGCACATGCCCAGTCTCCCTTCCCAGGCGGCTGAATAGTCAAGCACTGAGATCTAAAATTAATTATGATGAA